ACATATACATATACATATACATATACATATACATATACATATACATACACACACACACACACACACACACACACACATATATATATATATATATTATGTTTAAAAAGAGAAATGTCTCTTTCCTCAAAGATGGTGGCAAAGAGGGCATCTCATGGTGGCATGACCCAACAATAGGTCAAGCTATTCTCCAAAGCACCTGAAAGTGGGACAAGAAACAATGGAGGGAAACTAAACAGGGAGAGATCCAACTTACAAATATGGAGAATTTTCCTGATAGTTAGAACGCTGAATCAGTGGAAGAGTTTTCCTCCAGAGGTTGTAAATGCTTCATCACTGGAGCCTTTCAAGAAGAGACTGGACAGCCATTTGTCTGGAATGGTCTACAGTCTCCTGCTTCAGCTAGAAGACTAGAAGACCTCCAGGGCCCCTTCCAACTCTGTCATTCTGTTATTTCTGTTAAGGACTAGGGGTGACATGATAGCAGTCTTCCAATATCCATGGGGCTGCCACAAAGAAGAGAAGGTCAAGCTATTCTCCAAAGCACCAGAATGCAGAACAAGAAGCAATGGATGGAAACTCATCCAGGAGGGATGATCCAACCTAGAACTAAGGAGTAATTTCCTACAGTTAGAACAATAACCCAATGGAACGGTTTCCCTCTGGAAGCTGTGGGTGCTCCAACACTTGGAGGTTTTCAAGAAGAGACTGGACAGCTTGAAATAGTTTTAGGTTTCCTACTTGAGCAAGGGGCTTGGGCTAGAAGACCTCCAAGGTAGAGGTGGCACTCAGCAGGTTCTGACCAGTTCTGGAGAACCGGTAGCAGAAATTGTGAGTAGTCCAGAGAACCGGCAAATCCCACCTCTGACTGGCTCTACCCCCACCTATTCTCTGCCTCCCATTGAGTCCCAGCTGATCGGCTGGGTCTTCTTTTGTTGCCCTGCACAGGAGAACGGAGCTGGAAAGCAGGTTAGTGGGGTGGGGAAGTTATGGTGATTTTACAGTATCCTTCCCCTGCCACGCCCACCAAGCCACGCCCACAGAACCAGTAGTAAAATACTTTGAATCCCACCACTGCTCCAAGGTCCCTTCTGTTATTCTGTTATTGTGTCCTTCTGTGGTATCTCTTTCCCATTTTTAAACTCTTTGTTATCAGAGCTTAAGGTAGGTTGCCCTGTAGATGCCATTCTGGCCTGACTTGACTATTCAGAACAGACAAATCAAAGTCCGCAAGCTAGAAAGAGCTTGTGGAATTCATTGTTACTGTAGACAATCATGATGACCAGAGAGTAAAAGGTTTCAGCAGGAATGAGGTCCCATTGCTAGCTGTTCTCCAGGATTGCTCATCAAAGCTTGAGAACATAGAATTTAGGATAACACTTACAGTAAATTCTTTCCTCTTTTGTAGGTTCTCTGGAGATATGCTATGGCCTTTGCAAGGAGACCATGTTTCCCAGATCCCTCATCTCAGCCAGGGGTGATCCCTAGGTAGAGTCTCTTCATGGAAAGGCTGTGCTAAGGAACTGCACCCTGAGTTGGCTGAAGCCATCATGGGATGAAGGACCTGCTGCATTTTTGTGCTGTGCTAAATCTGTTAGAACAGCTGGATGAACAAGGATTGGAAGAAGAATGGAACATTCTGGAGTTCATGGAATCTTCTGGAATTCCCCAAAAGAATTGACTGACTGACTGACTAAATAAATAAATAAATCATGAATGGAGTTTTTTTTAAGGAAGAATTATATATGCAATGGATTGGAGAAGCCTGGGAAAGACTTGGCTATATGGCCCATCTAGAGCAAACTATCGACTGTTATCTGTAGCATTGATAAATTCTGATTCTATCATATTTCCAAATCAAGGCAACTATTCAAATTTTTGATCCAAGCGGGGAAGAACCAGCAGGGATCACTGTTGGAGGAGAGGATCAGTGGCCTCTCTGCATGATTTGGGTTCCGACCTTCTGCCAAAGTCCTTGTGTTTTCTGAGAGGTTCAACCAAACCATTAACAACTGAAGGTGAACCTCAACAGATGCTCCTTTGTCTGAATGGGTTCAGGTTCTGGGCAGCCCAAAGGCAAACCTTGAAGACCTAAGAGTGCAAGAGAGGGAGAGAGAAGATGGTGAAATCTGGTGGTGGCCATTAAGCGGCCATTAATGGTGAATGAGATGCCATCATGGAGGAGATGCCTACTATGGGTCTTGAAAATTCATCATTAGCTGCAGGGAGACCATCCATCCAATGTACTGTAGTGAACTGTGGTGGCACCAAAGGGGCAGATCTCTAAGCTTCTCTTTGCAATCACCGTAGTGGTTGACCTTTGGGAGAAACCAACGGTTGGACTTAGAAGGACCTTGATTTGGTTCATCTTAGTGTCCTTGGAAGCCCCGAAGGCAGGCTCTTGTCGTTTGAAGACAAGAGTCCCCCACTTTAATTTAATTCACAGTAACCCATGCTACCAAGGATAGAGCGCAAAGGAAGACAGAGACGTGGGTTCAAATAAAGCACATTTTATTGGAAGACCCAGAAGGGACATTAAGAGACACACAAGAGCTGGTGAAGGCTGGTTATATATAAGCAAAGGGAGAAGGATGTTGAGCTGTTTTAAAGCAAAGTTGGTGGGGGGAAACGAAGACTAACCGTAGAAGCCACGGGTACCATCTCGGCCCAGGCGGCCTCTGAAGTAGTCAATACCGATACCTCCGGTACCTCCGATACCTCCGATACCTCCAATACCTCCGGTACCTCCGATACCTCCGATACCTCCGATACCTCCGATACCTCCGATA